ATGAATAAAGCAGAACAAAGATTGATAATACATGGAGCGACAAGATGAAAAAATAGGATGACTGTATTGTATTGTTGAATAGAAGAAGAATAACGAGTTACACACCATCTATCGATCTCCGCTGCTTTCGTTTCTGTCTTTACCTCATATAATTCTCGATATATAGGTTCATGGATGATCGAAATCATGACACAGAACGGCAAAATAAGAACTGTCCATCGAGCAATGCATTGACTTTTCTGTTTATTGAAGTTAACTCCTCTGAAAACGAGAACCGCTCTTTCAATAGCTACACAAGCATTGAGCCAAACATCCAAATATAGACAAAGCTTGAGAAGAGGTTCAATCGATACACAACCTCCTCGAACAACAGAAACTGGAATCGATAGATTCATTTGAGTGAGAACAACAAACCAAAACTTCACTGTAAACATGCTGATTGTAAGAAAAGAAGTAATGGATGATGCTAAGAGATAGATGCCACATCCAACTTGTCGAAGATCTTTACTTTGAAATGTTAGTAGAGACAACATGCTACTGATCAAACCTCCAACAAACATAATCATCGTTGAAGCGGCATGGATTTTCACTAATATTGTTTGATCAGTCATTGTCATATTTGGTCGAATTTCGTCACGTAAAATATCATCGAGAATGATACCAATACTTTTTTTGTAGAACTGGCATTTTTGGCCGATGAAACAACTGGTCAGAATTTGAGCTATATAGAGAAAGAGGTGGGATCAATTTGTCTCTACTTAGCAAAGCTACGTCGGCGTAGATTTGTGAGGACTAATAGCCTATCAAAGTCATTAGTCTATACATGGTATGTTGTGTTGAGATTAGATTTCTACATTCCTGTTTTTATCTGATTGTAAGAAAGCTATTCGATTTCAGAAGAAGAAATTCCGATGTAATACTATTTTTGGACAATAAATCTATTGATGGTTTACAAATAATACAAAATACTTACTGTAAGGATCAAGAGTGATGTTATTTGGACCAGATGTCAGGATGAAAAAGTTTCCTGTTATATTTCGAGATAATGTTGTTACCACTAATATGTATTTAGTGTCAGTGTGAAGATACGCGATAAACTTGAAATTTCGATCACTACAGCTTCGATAATTCTGTGAGAGTTGATTTTCGAAAGGATTCAATGGATTAAAATGATCTTCATAAATATAGCCATATGTATTCATACTGCTATTACTACTCAGAGCATAGTATCCAGTTTCCACTACCTGCATTCGTATAGTTTGATAGTAATAATTCGATTCTCGACAATTTCGAGAATATGTTTGACTGTCTGTTGTTAGCTGTAATAAATAATTTGATTGTGCAACTGATGAGTATGATATCTGAATGACTGATGGAGAACCTACATGATGAAAATAAAAACAATAGCCAAGATTCATGATAGATCTTGGTTGACTGAGAGAAAAGAAATTGAACATCATACATCACCTCTGATACATGCTGAATTGAGATTTCTGAAGATATAATTTTTCATAATATCGCTCTCAATGAAATAATTAAGCTGTAGATGGAGAGTAGAAATAGACTCTATCAACATTTTTCTGTACTCGAAGCCACGATAATATTAATCACATCAGATTAGCGATCGATTGAAACATATTCGTATTCAAGAAGACTGCCCTGATCCTATTCATAATATTCTGTTATTTGATGCGTGTAATGTAGCTTTTTATGTAAAGTTTTCTTATTATAGTACAAATGCCGTCTTACAAAACAAATCTTTATTTGTGAATATGCCAAACTCAACTAAATAATCACGTTAGCGCTAACAAATATTCATTTAATAGTTGCAGTGCAAACACTTACTAATGTTCTTTAAAACAACGATGTCTGGACCAGATACAATTATCGAGAGTGCTCCTGTCTCATTAGAGTCAGGTGATGTCACAACCAGTATATATGTAATACTATTCTCGAGATGATATGTGAATCTAAACTGGTGTTGTTTGCAGCTGTGGTCATCATCGGAGAGTAGATTTTCATCTGGATTCGATGGATTGAAATATCCGTTGTGAATAGAGCCATATGTATCCATATTGCTTCTGCTTAAGAAAGTGTAAGAACCATTTTTGGGGACATTTACTTGTATCGCTTCATAGTAGGAATTTGACCATGCACACGAAGGGAAATACGTTGAACTATTCGTTGTCAATTCTGATACATAAGTTGTTTGAGCAACTGATGAGGTATTCACTAATGAAAAAGAAAATTGATTCAATCTTGTATTATATGAAAATAAGTGTAAACAATTTGAAACATTACTTTCTCTCTCAGATACATTTATTGAAAGCGAATGAAAGTGATTTGGATGTTGATGTAAATAAGAATAATAATATTTTCAGTTTCAAGACAGTATAGGATACTCTCTGATATCATTCATATCTCGAGTTGCAAAGAGAACATATTAGTTTTGTTACATCCTGTATAGAATATCCATAATATGAAGATCATGCCCTCAGAAAACTGCGGATACGAATCTTATTTTCTATCCAACTGAAGAATCTGTATATCATTTGTAGATTGAGTTTATTTATATTTTCTACCCGTGATGAGTAAGTGCAACCGATTATCTATTAAAATAGTATAGATACTCACTAATACGATTGAAACCGATAAAGCTTGGGCCGAATACTTGAATTGAAGTGTTTCCTGTAATATTCGGAGAAGATGTTGTCATAACGAAAACGTATATCATGTTGGCATGAAGTGTGGCTCCGAGTTTAAATTGGCTTTGATTACGAAAGTTTTCATTAGAAATGAGCACATTTTTGGACACATCGAATGGATTGAAGTCATTTGTGTATATAGAAACATACGTGGTTTTTATCTCACTCTTGATTAGAAAAGTATAATATCCAGTTGTAGTGACATTCATTTGTATCGCTTCATAATACGAATCTAACTCTGAACAATCTTTGAAATAAGTCGAACTATTCGAGGTCAGTGACAATGAATACATTGTTTCTATAACTAATGAATTATCTATTGAATGAAAAAAATCAATGAGTATTTGTATTTAGAATAAAGAAAAGAAACGACTGCGCATGTTCTCAGTTTGTTTTTCACTCTATTTACAAATGAGAGTTGAATCGTTTGTTTTAAAGCAATGCTTTTGAGAGAATGCATCCTATTCCGCGATGTTGAACATTGGAGGAATCAGTTCCGCACCGGAATCGATTCCGTCCAATTCCGGGAACTCGATCGACACACAACACAAGACACCCAGTCAAGATTGATCGAGTTCAACCGATTCCGGAATTGCACGGAATTCCCACCGATTCCGGAATTGCACGGAATTCCTACCGATTCCGGAATTCCGTACCGGAATCACACCATCCACCTCACCCACATTTATTGTGTTGTGTTGATGAGTTATCCCGTTTGGATACGATCCAATTCCGTTACGGAATTCTGGGAATTGCATCAAGACGGAATTCAGTGGAATTGGACGGAATTCCTG